TTTCCATCAATTCCAAAGGAAAGCGCTGACGGCTCTGGTTTGCAAGGTGATTAGCACAGCGAGTCTGTCTCCAAGGCTGGCTACGCAGTGAGCGGTGCCATTTCCTAATAAGCCTCCTCACATGGAGCTCAGCTGCCAACAGCCTCAGACTCACAAAGGCCACAGATAAGCGCTGCTCGCAATCACAAGTGTTTCTCGGAATGCCAGTCACAAGTTGTGGGATGATCGGCTGTGGGGAACAAAGGCAAATGAGCATGCTGTGACTTGACTTTCTGCAAAAGGCTCACACAAATATGAGAACTGGAAAACGCCACCTGCTTTCACACAAACAGCCCAGGAATCTGGCATTCCTGGGCAAGCAACCGGACCTACTTGTTTTTTAATAGGCCTCTAAGGTTTTAACACCTGATTCTCACAGGAGAGCAGGAGACACAGCCTCAAGGCATTCATACTTGTTGGTGCCTGTAAGTATTTTCCTAAAAACTTAGCTGAGAAAAAAGGGAAGGGTAAGAATCTGAGTGGGGAATTTCTGGTTTAGGCACAAGCAGTATTAAGAAGCCTTAAGTTTCTGAAAGAGTAATCGACAAATTCATTTAGTGTGTGTCAGTTCATACAGAACCTTCAAATGTTTAATTAGCCAGAGCAGCCCAAGGCCAACCTCCTCTGGAAGGCTCTGTGTTGGGCCATTCTGGGAGGGTGAACTCCCAGGCTATTGGGACTATTCTAGTTTTACTGCCTCATCCTTCAGAACTGGGCCTTCCACTTGGTGACCACCAGTAAAGTGATCCTCTTGTGGCATGCGCAGAGGCATGGGGATGCAGGGCTAAGAGTAAATGACGTGGGAGAGACCATGACGTTTGCTCCCCCCCACCCCCCAGCAGCAAACAGGGCCTGCAGCCAGCCCACCGGGGTCAGTGCAGCCAGCACAGGGGCTCAGGCTGTAGCCCTGGTACATGCCAGTGTGTCCCTGGGTGTGCATTACTATCACTTGGTTTTCGCTCAGAAATGACAGGCACATAATGCTGATGGCTTTTGGCAGATGCAGCCTGTTCTTCATCAAGGAAACAATGTGAGCTGGCTGTGGACCCCTTTCAGAGTTAATTTACCACCCAGACCCTGAGCGGGAGGACTGTCCCCTGCTTAGAGGCTGGCCATGCCCATGGTGACAGGCTCAGCCATGTCTGAAGCAAGGCCAAGTTGTCATTAGAAATCCAACCTTGCATCTTCCTTACACGACACCAACACTCCTGGGTGGGCCCCATCCCAGGTGTCTAGTAACATGCAAAAATCCACAGCCCTGCAGCCGCCTGGAAAACCTGCCTCCCTGCTGACCTTGGCTGGTGCACCAAGAGTGGGTTCAATTCATTTTGAGTTCAATGACTAAAGAATGGAACTGTGCATCTCAGAATCTTGCTAACTGCTGCTGTTGTTGCTGTGACCCAGCAACAGGAGGCAGGAGAGGGAGAAGTGTGAATCCAGGTGAGGACAGAAGGTGGAGCCCCCGGGGCTGGACTCCACACTGTCCTCTGCTTTGTCCTGGCCTCCTGCAGGTGCAGGCAAGGGAGCGAGTGGATGGCTGGGGCAAGCCAGAGTGCCTGTTGAAAGGCCAAGAACCAGAGAGGCAGGAGAACTGCAGGGACATTGGGCAGGGCCTCGTGGATGGAGTTCTGGGGAAAATCAGAGGGCCAAGGTCAGAGAAGCTGATTGCAGAACCGCCAGGGAGCGGACCTCCAGGTCCCTGGAGAAGAGGTGCGCAGTGCTCATGGCAAAGGCCACACAGGAAGCACGCTGTGGGCAGATGGGGTTGCAGGACCAGTGCGTCCTTTAGGTCAGATGAAGCCACTTGCTCAGGCCATCTCCAAGAGGGTGCAAGGGCTCTGAAGAGAGACAGCGGCCTCTGCTTTGAGCCGCCTCATCCTGCCTTGAGCTGGCACTGCTCTCCAAATCTGGATGCCAAGACGGAGGGCAGAGCCTGGGACCAGCTGGGAGGTGGCTGGGTTCTGAGGGTGGAGAGGCCCAAGCTGCAGGAGGGAAAGGCTGTCTCACCAAAGCCACCGTCTGGCTACCACCTGCTCGTGGGCCAAGCAGACCCGGTCCTTTCCAGAGTGCTGTCAGCAGAGAAACTGACAAAGGCCAGGAGAGGCAGGGGTGGTGGGGGGATCCTTCCCCAGAGGCCCTCCCTGCCACGTGGCCATGGCAGCCAAGCCTTCTCATTAGGAAGACTGATGTGTTAATAAAGATAGTTTCAAAACATCCAAAAGGACAGCACCCAGGAGGCACTTTCACCATGATGGGTGCCCAGATGGCCAGCACCCACCTCTGACAGAGCCAGTGCATGAGTGCCACACTGGTGTCTGCTCTGGGAATGAGCTGCTGTGTGTCTTTTCTGCGGTGGAACTGACTTGGGGGATGTGATGACAAAGCACTGGGGCCTTCCACACTCCTGCAGGTTCCTATTTGCAGCAACAGCGGGGGCTGAACCACGTGTCAGGATGGGCTGCCCGGCAGAGGACGCAGGCCGAGCCTGGCAGCGTCATTCTTACTCCCAGCAGCATCTCTGTGGGCCGGTTTGGAAGGCACTCCACTTAGAACATGAAGGCAAAGTTTCCTCCAAGTAGGTGGAAATGTGGTGAGAATAACTGACGCCGAGACCTGGGTGTCTCTGGGGCGCTTCCTCTGGGTGACGTTCTCTCACACCCTGTTGGCAGGGCTAGGGCCACCATACTCCCATGCTGACCCCTGCTGCTGAGCAAGGCAAGCCCAAGCCATGGGCAGCTCCTCCACTCACAGGCACCACAGGGTTGCGGAGGAAGTGCCTGAGCTAGAACTGTCCTTGTCACAGGGCAGGGCTGACCATCGCCCCACTGCTCCTCCCTTAGTCCCCCATGAGCACCTTTCCAGTGTTTCTGCGAGTTCGACATTTTGGATCCCACTCATAAGTGAGAGCACGCATTTGTCCTTGGGTCTGGCTTATTTGGCTCGGCATAAAGCCCGCTAGGCTGTCAGCATTGTTTCGGCGTGCATTTTATGAGTACACAATAGATTCTTGAAAGCATTCTGTGCTGGGGCCGGGCCGAAGAAGTGGCACCAGGCATGAGGCAGTGGGTTGTCTTCTGCCCTGGGCTGCCCTCAGACTCTTGGATCCAATTCAGCTGAGATGCCAGCACATGGGAGGCATAGCCCGGGCCCGCTCCACAGGACTGTCCCACCAGGATGGGGACAATCTCCTGGCCCTGGCTGTCAAGAGTGTCATTTGTTATGGGGACTTTCTGCACATGAACACACATTCCAGCCGGGCCCGGCCTGGACAGGAGCAGGAGGGAATACTCCTCTCTTGAGTTGATTGCTGGCTGCACAGGTGTTGTTGGTTTGTGAAATTCATCAAGCTGTATATTTTCTGTATGTCTATTATATGTCAAAAAAAGTACAAATAAAACAAAAAATGTGACAAAACTCCCTGAGTCAGCATGCTGGTGCTCACTTGTTCCGAGTATTTTTCAAAACTGTGGTGAAATATACATAAAATGTGCTGTTGTAACCATTTTTGTGATTCAGTAGCATGCAGTATTTCACAGTACTGCACAACCATCGGCACCGTGCATCTCCTGCCCCTTCCCATCATCCCAACACCGACTCCCCAACCCCTGCCTCTGGGAAACTCTGTTTTACTTCCTCTCCCTGGACTTGTATTCCAGGTGCCTCATCTAAGCGGACTCATACAATGTGCTTGTGTCTGGCTTATTTCACGAAGTGTCTTCAAGGGTCATCCTGTTACAGCACTGTCTGAACTTCCTTCCATCTTCAGGCTGAACAACACTCTATCATGGGCACAGATCATGCTGTGCACCGCTCATTCCTCTACAGGCATTTGGGCCGCCTCTGCCTGCTGGCTCTGCGAATGGTGCTGCCCTGAGCACGGGGCCAGATGGCTGTCCAGCCCCTGCTTTTGGCTCTCTTGGGTACAGACCTAGGTACCGCCAGCCACGCAGTAATTCTGGGTTTGGCTGTTTGAGGAATCACGCCACTCTTCTCCACAGTAGTGGCGTGATGTTAGCGTCCCCACTCGGTTCCTGCGTGTCTTCACGGGCGTTTCTTTCCTCTACTGCTGAGAGCCATCCTGACGGCCGTGCAGTGCACACGGCTGTGCTTTGCCTTTCCCTGGCCTCTCATGTCCTTTCTGTGAGCATTTTCCACGTGTCTATTGGCCATTTGTACATCTTCTTTTGAGAAATGTCTATTCATTTTTGAATTGGGTTATCTTTTTGTTGTTGAATTATAAGAATTATGTATTCTGAATATTAAACTCTAACCACATACATTAATTCTAAATATATTCTCCCATTCTGTGAATTGTTTTCACTTTCTTGATGGTATCCTTTGATGCACAAAAGCTTTTAATTTTCCTAAAGTCCAATTTAACTATTCTTTTCTTTCATTGCTGTGTCTTTGGTATCATATCTAAGAAATCATTGCCAAACCTAATGTCACAAAGAGTGCTCACTTTTGACTTGGAGCATTCTTTACCCCTCAAGTGAAGTGGGCTTCAGGAAGGATTTCTTTGTAATAAACCAATTTTTAAAAAATTAACAAAATTCTTTGCACTGGTGCAGTGAGTAGCATTGTAGATACTTTGTGAGCGCTTTCTCATTGTGGCCTTCTTTCTTTCTGTGAGGAAGAAGAGAGCAGCACACTGCAATGGAAAGAAATGGACGTAGGGGAACAGGAGACCTGGCTTCTACTGCGGGCTCTGGCAGCAAGCCATGGGACCAGGAGATGGCATCTCCTTCCTCTGAGCCTCCGTTTTTTCCTCTGTGACATAAAGGTGCTGCAGGGGGCAGGCTCTGGGGTCCATCCCAGCTGTCAGCCTCCCTGATCATTTATCCGTGCTGGGTAACGTCCTGGTACACACACTCTGCAGAGGCCAGACCCTCAGGCAGGTAATCCACCTCTCACCTGGAGCAGAAATGACAACTAGGACGCTGGACCACAGGGAGACTTACCAGGGTTATGGCATCCCGGGCAATCATGTGGCCTCCGGGAGCCCAGAGCAGGAAGTTGAGGAGAAGGTGCCTGATCAGCTGTTGTGCAGGAGCTCTGGGGTCTGTGTCTGTGCCCTGTCTCGCTGCCGTCTGGAGGTCCTGGGCAGAGAGGGTGGTGCTTCTGGACATTGCCAGGAGGTGGCCCAGCACAGCCTTTACCTGGACCTAGGCAATAGCATTTGACAGGGGAGAGGTTAAGAAGAGGCAGGACAGACATGATTCTAGGATTTATTTATTTGCTTTGAAGCGATCCCCCAAAAGGGGTGAGGACCCGCCCTGAGAGAGGGAGCTAGTCAGCGGCGGAGTGTACACTCTACTCCACACAAACCCAAATAGGCGGAATGGAAACTGCTTGACTTTCTTTCATCTTGCTCACCAAGCAGCCAGGGCACCATGCCAAGAATTGACCTCTTTTTTGTATAAAAAGAAACACAGAAAAGTCCTCAACAGAATGTAGTCAGATTTTTACACTGTGGGGAAAAAGAACAAAAGGCTCCTTTGCAGACTCGCCTCACTATCACAGCCACAAATCAATTAAAGCCCCACAGAGCCGGACCTCCGCTGAGCCAATGTTCCCATACAAATGCGGGCTTGCCTTTGCTTCCTGCTGTATTTGGGGTAGGGGTGGGGGGATGGGGGGAACACACACACGAGCACGCACGTACACACATGCACGGTCATACACGCATACATGCACACACAAGAACAACACATTTGTTTTAGATGCTGGAACAATCTGTTCCTACATGTTTAATGCTCAAGCACAGGTCACAAGTCTGTGGAATCCACATGATAATGGTAATTGTGAATCTGCGGGTTTTTACATAAAAATATTTATTCCATGCTGAGATGCTTCTGCTTGCTACAAGAATGGTACACCCAGTCGTGACTTGGAAAACAAAGCAAAACTGAAAGCCCATAGATCCAAATGCCACATGGAACTCATGAACAGCTATGTTCCATCATTTCTGAAAGAAGACTTAGGCCTATTCTGAGAATTCCCATGACTGATTTTATGGATTTTGTGTGAGGCGTTTTGTTCCCTGGAAGTCAAGGCCTCATTCAATGAAGTCTGTCATAAGCTCCAGTACACTGGGCATGTTGTGTGAGCTCCTCTGCCCACAATACGAGACCGTGAGAAACTGCACCATCAGGCTCTTCCACGGGGAGCGACAGCGTTCCAGCAGGCCAGGCTGTGTTCTCCTCACCTCGCCCCTCAGCCGGGCCAAGCCTGCCATGGTATGATGGTGTCTACAGGAGCTCAAGGCCATTCTGCCATCTAACTAGGTCTGCAAAAATGTTGCAGTTTAGGAAGCTATGCCTTTATATACGTTTTTTCTCTTGACCCACAATTGCCTTTCTGCCCTTGTCCAGTAATCCCTAAGACGGGGCCTTCTTCCTTTCTGTTTGTCCCAGACTGTCTTTCCCTTCAGATGCTGTCCATGCCCGTAGGCTTCCACTTGAACACCAGTAACTTTAAACACTTCCTAAGTTTTTCAGGAGAAAGATATAAGCTTTCTTTTCTTTTTAAAGTATTTTTTATCTTCCATCATAAAAACATATATGTTTACTATGGAAAACTTGAAAAGAGAAAACAAAAAACCATTAAAATGATCTATAACTCTACCATCCAAAAAGATGCACTGTTAATAATTCAGTTTATATACTTCTTGTGTTTTTTCTATGCATTGAGACCATACCACTCACTACACATAATGCTTTGTATCTTTCATTTTCGCTCCACAATGTACTATAACCAGTTCATTTTCTATAAAACATGTTCTTCAAAAACATAATTTTTTTTTTTTTTTTTGGAGAGAGTCTTGCTATGTCACTCAGGCTGGAGTGCAGTGGTGCAATCTCTGCTCACTGCAACCTCTGCCTCCTGGGCTCAAGAGATCCCTCTATCTCAGCCTCCCAAGTAGCTGGGACTATAGGCACGCACTACCACACCTGGCTAAATTCTTTTTTTTTTTTTGTAGAGACAGGGATCCATGTTGCCCAGGCTGGTCTCAAACTCATGGATTCAAGTGATCCAGCCACCTTGGCCTCCCAAAGTGCTGGGATTACAGGCATGAGCCACTGCGCCTGGCCAAGAGCATGATTCTTCATGGTGTATAATAGAATACTATTCCATGGTTAGGATATACCACCATTTATTTGGCCAGTAGCCTTACTGTTGAAAGTTTAGGCCATTTCCCATTGTTGTATTTATGAACAATGCTGTGCTGAATAATCTTGTATATATGCCTTTGCATGGATCAAATAAAGAATTACTCTAGGGTAATTCCTAGAAATGGAACGACAGGGTTAAAGGTATGAACCCTTCCCTGATTCTTTTTTTATTTTTCCTTGTTTTCTCTAGTCATCATTGTACCTTGCCTGATTCTTAAGGGTATCTAAACAGACTTGTTTGTTTATTTTGTTGTGATCCTATTCAGTTGGCAAAAGGAGATGAACACTGGCTGGTAGAGAACATGGCTTGCCCGTGAGTGGGACAGGCCTTCTCATGGGCAGGACACATCCCGGGCGAGGACAGGCTTGCTGTCTGCACCCATGCTCTTCACCTCAAAGACAGCCACAGAGGCAGCGACACCAGCCCCAACACATGATGCGGGGATACGCAACCAATTCATTTAGTCATGCCTTTTTAAGTAAGGCAAATGCACAGATCCTGCTAATCTCAATCCAGTCTCATCAGAACCATGATTCACCATTTGTCTCTCAAGCCCCCCAACAGACCACCAAGGGATTAAAGCTCACAAAACCCAGGAAAACAAGAGGTATGTATCATTCATTCAACTAAAACCCCCTTCCCAGGACACCACATACACCAATGCCTCAGGCAGCCACCAGCGAGGAAGGGGCTCTGGAGTCACCAACAGGAGCACTGGACTGAACCGCCAGGCAGATGGGCACCTGTGACAGAAAGGCAGGGAGGGAAACAGACACCGGCCACCACCCCACTCGCAGTGAGCCAATCCATTCTCATCCAAAATCCTAGGCATCCCCTGAGGGAGAACTCTGCAAAAGTTTTGTTATTTTTTCTTCAAAAAAGGACTAAGTTAGCTAGTAGAAGATGTGCCAATGTAGAACTTTCTAGAAATTAAGTGTTACTGGATAATTTCCTTTTTTTTTCCCCGAGATGGAGTCTCGCTCTGTCGTCCAGGCTGGAGTGCAGTGGCGCAATCTCAGCTCATTGCAACCTCTGCCTCCCAGGTTCAAGCGATTCTCCTGCCTGAACCTCCTGAGTAGCTGGGACTACAGGTGCCCACCACCACCACACCCGTCTAATTTTTCGTATTTTTAGTAGAGACTGGGTTTCACAGTGTTAGGATGGTCTCGGTCTTTTGACCTTATGATCCACCCACCTCAGCCTCCCAAAGTGCTGGGATTACAGGCGTGAGCCACTGCTCCCGGCCTATTTCTTTATATTTCAAAAGTGACTCTCTATCAGTACCCATTACGGTGACAGAATTGAGCACATTATCTACCAACTTAGCTTATATAGAATCAAATAAGACAGAATATAAAAGGACTTTTGACACCATGAGTACTCCATACATCTTATTACTATTAAAAACACCAACCAGGATTTTCCTTAATTAGTTTAATGTGATCTTTTAAAAGGGAAGAAATAAGAAGCTTTCTTTTTAATCAGACAGCACTACTCAAATACATACTGTATGTGGGTTTGATAATTTCTTCACAAAGCTTTATTTCTGAACTAAAATAAATTATTAACAGATTTCAACATTTAAAATCTAAAAATATTTTTCTTTCCTATGCCATGCAAGCCTTTAAACAAATAAAATGCAGCTGGGTATGGTGGCTCATGCCTGTAACCCCAGCACTTTGGGAGGCTGAGGCGGGCGGATCATAAGGTCAGGAGATCAAGACTATCTGGGCCAACACGGTGAAACTCTGTCTCTATTAAAAATATAAAACAATTAGCTGGGCGTGGCGGCAAACCCCTGTAGTCCCAGCTACTTGGGAGGCTGAGGCAGGAGAATTGCTTGAACCCAGGAGGCGGAGATTACAGTGAGCTGAGATTGCGCCACTGCACTATAGCCTGGGCAACAGTGTGAGACTCCAGCTCAAAAAACAAAACAAAACAAAGCAAATAAAATGCACAGACATCTTTACTAGTCCCTGTGTTTTCAAAAAACAGAAAATACAAAGCCAAGAAGAGCAATGCTCCATACGAAATGAGCATTGTCCTCTTTAACTACTAAATTCAGCAGAGAGCACCGGCAGTTGAAGTTTCAAGAGCCTAGCAAATAAATGCTTGCAAGGGAGGTGCCAATGCCTTTAATCAAAGCACTGCTTCCTGTAATTATTATATTCCACATAAAATAACAACTGTTTTTGCCACAGACAGTTATCCAGTCCCATACTTAGCTGCTCTGTTATTTAGGAAATGACCAAGTCCTTTTTCAGAAGCAAAGTGGTTAATATCATGTGATTACTTTAGGAAGAGATGTAAACAAAGCCAGTAATGTAAGGATCTGTTGACTGATCCAAGAAATCAGACACAGTCAAGACGGAAGCAGCCCCAGCTGGGCTGCTGGGGAGCAAGGCAGGGCACTGGCTATGGCCAGGCTCTGCTGTGGGCACACCCCTCAGAACAGCACCCTCTGCATGGCACGCCCTGGAGGACAAGACCCCAGGGCAGATGTGGCAGCTAAGCAACAACAGATCAAATGACCTCCGGAAAGAAGGGTGTTTTCCAGGAGAACGGGCTGGCAGTCTCTCGTCTTTGGCCACGGGGAGCAGAGGAAAGGGGGAAGGAGAGCGTCTCTGACCATAAGGCTGGAGGTCACCACGCCTGCAGGTTGCCACAACATCTGCCATCTGTGGGCAGCGCTCAGGTGTCACGAAAGCCAAGCCCGCAACAGAGCCCCTCTCTGCAGGTTCCCCTCAGCCCCCAGAGCCCACCCCAAACACATGTAGTGGGGCTTGCTACCCACCATGGTCTGTGTTCTCTGCTGCCTCCCATCACAAGGTCCATAGTAGAAGGCCAAGAGCCACAGCAGGGCCGTGGGGGGTTCAGCTGCCGACATCAGTAACTGCTCGGCTGCCATCTCAGCCCATCCTCCAAAGTGAATGAACAGGAACCAGCTCTCGAAGGGACCTCTGCAGGACCTAGAACAGAGCCAGAACACATGGCAGCCAGCAACCTGAATTTTTCCTCCTTTGGGTTTTTAAAGCAACTTTAATGTTTGCCAACAGTTGGTTTAAATTGTACTTATCCACTGAAGAGCAACCTGCAAGGAATACAAGTTAAACTCAGAAAACTGGGCTGAATGCCACTCTGCACCATCACAGGACATCGAAACAGTACCTCTCAGGGCACCAGTGAGGCCTGAGGCCTTCAGACATCAGTCTTTAATCCAGGTACCTTCAGTGAGGACAGGCACTGAGGAAGCAAGATTGCGGCCGTGACCAGCAGGAATGTCGCAGGATGTGGCGGCACATCTCCCTGCCTTCTGTGACGCAGAGACAGGGGTGGAAGGTGGGACGCAGGCAGAAACACGCGCTGCTTCCTTCAAGACACAGGTTCAAGTGGAAGTTTCAGCAACTATGAATTTGTTTTTTGGGGAGGGGGACAGAGTCTTACTCTGTCACCCAGGCTGGAGTGCAGTGGCACAGTCTTGGCTCACTGCAACCTCCTCCTCCCAGGTCCAAGCGATTCTTCTGCCTCAGCCTCCTGAGTAGCTGAGAATACAGGGCGCACCACCATGCCCAGCTAATTTTTGTATTTTTAGTAGAAACAGGGTTTCGCCATATTGGCCAGGCTGGTCTCGAACTCCTGACCTCATGATCTGCCTGCCTCGGCCTCCAAAGTGCAGGGATTACAGACATGAGCCCAGCTGCAACTACCAATTTTTAGCAAGTTGCTGTCATCACATGTGCGTCAATGCCAGAAAGTTAAAGCCTTTGCGAAGCTATCCCCTGGCCATACTGGCAAATGGGAGTTGCAATACTTGTTTAAGGGCAAAATTTGCTCCAAATGAGGACCCACTAATTGTATGCAGTACCAGTTTCAGCAGGTTAACGTCTCCCTTGGAGAGAACGGAACAGACCGGCTGAGATCATATTAGATGCAAACTTTCCTTCTGGGGCAGCGGGTGGAACAGGAGTGTTCCTGGCCCCTCTGCAGCACCTTTGTTGGATCCAGCTCCATGTTCCTCCGCCTGGCCCATGGAATTCCCATGCTCTAAGCACTGTCCTCGCCTCCCTGGTCACTGCTGTCCTCCTGCTCCATTCCTCCCTGAGAACAAGTGGTTAAATATTCTACAATTGAGCAACAAAGAGGAAAAGACAGGAGGGTAGAGTACTGGCCTTACTCCCTCTTCCCCAGGCATGCTCCGGCAGCCACATTGGCAGTAGGCTAGGTTAGGCTGTATCAGAGTGAGGAGGGGACTCCGCCATGCCTCTTCCCTGCAGGCACCATGTCGGGGTACAGAGACGCACAGAGCAGCGGGGCCCCCTCATGTTCCCTGCTCTCAGGTTGGCAATGTGCCCAGATCAGGATCAGAGACCAGCCTGGTCCTTCCCTCTCTTCCATCAGTAGCTGAAGGCACAAGGCAGTCCCACATGGCCACCTGAAAGGTGACTCCTGACCCCAAGGTCTGGGTTGAGGCGGAAGCCCCACGAGGCCTAAGTCCTGCTCCACAGTGCCACATGCACCCTTTCTGGTTGCTGTTTTATTACAGTCTCCATGCATTTTGACATCACACATTATGAGTATGGCAGAGACGGTGGGTAGGTAGAAGAGAAAAACATTCAGGGCACCTGCAGCACAGCATTTCTCAATCACAGGGTTGGCTATTTACACCACCTCCATCTACTTCCATGTCCCTGAGTTAAGATTCTTTGAGGTTCAGCTCTGTGTAACGCCAGGACAACCAGGGAGGGTGCGTAGGGGGCTGACCGGCCATTGCAGGCTATTCACGTGGCCAACCCTGGGCCCCCACTGGCTGCAGGTCTTTTCTGTATGCTCTCCATTGGTAAGAATCGTGGTGGGGAAGAAGTGAGCATCCTGCACCCAAACCATCAATCACGGAGCAGGACATAGGCACGTCACCCATCGTCTGTGTTGGCTCGATGCCAAGAGCGAAAAGTGGCAAAAGGAGCAGATAAGATAGTCTTAGTAGGCTTGGCAGAGACAATGAATAAAATTATTTATACTCTAAAAGAAAAGGACTTAAGAGGACGCCAAAGAATGTTATGATATAAGGAATTTAGCCAAGCCTAAATGTGAATGCTTTCAGGAAAGTCACACACATAAGACGGTACCTAACAATACTGTTAGGAATTAACAGGCTGGCACAGCAGCCACGCCTGTAATCCCAGCACGATGGGAGGCCAAGGCAGGGGGATTACTTGAGCTTGAGAGTTTGAGGCAATATAGCAAGACCTCTACAAAAAAATTTAACTAGGTGTGGTGGTACACACCTGTAGCCCCAGCTACTCAGGAGTGTGAGTTGAGGATCACCTAAGCCCAGAAATTTGAGGCTGCAGTGAGATGTGATCATTCCACTGTACTCCAGCCTGAGCAACAGAGCAAGGCCTTATCTCTAAAAATTAAAAAGGAAAAATAAGCATTTAACATGCCACCCTACTGTGTAGAAGTTTCAAATTGCCTTCCCTAGAGAAGTAGAGAGAAGACCAAAGGACCCAAACAAGTGCCCTTTTCCTTCTGCATGGCCAGGGGCTTCCAGCAGGTGGGCACTGCTTTTTCTAAGGTCTCTTCTTTTTTTGTTATGCCTGTGTATTTCAGACAAAACCAGACATTAACATTACATAGAAGCGTTTCGACACAGGTACTGACACGCGCATACAGGTGCACGCCTGTTCATCCTGACCTGCTGCAAACCATCCGTGCAGCCATGCACTTCCTTCACCCCTCACTTTGCCATAGTGCTCACCTGTTTGTCCTTCCTCTGTCAGCCCTGCTAAAAAGGCAGACGAGGATCTAGGGAAACCGTGTACGAAGTAGATTTGGGTGTGGTATTTGCTTACCCATGAGTCTGGTCTTCAACTGCTTTTCTGAGCAGTTCAGAAATGTGCTTCAATGTCTGGAGCCACTGTCCCTGAGGGATATCTGCAGGTGGAAAGAGACACGTCAGAGGGCAAGTGAGAAAAAGTCAGGGAACCCAACACTGTTCTCATGCTCTTCCCAGCTAGTGTCTATCTCGTAAGCCCGGGAAAGTAAGATCTGTCCATGTTACACAGAGCTGAACCTCAAATAATCTAATCATCTTATTTAGTGGGTTTTTTTTTTTTTTTTTTT